AAAAATCGTAAATTTTTTCGAAGTCGTTACAACCAAGATATTGAAAGATAACTTTCAAAAGAGCTTGACATGTGAAAATCAATGTGTTTAACGTCAAATTTATCAAAACTGGGTTCTGGGTAGAAGATCTTTGTAATTCTAAGAGGGAGCGAAATGCCGAAGATTAGAAGCTTTACAAGAGAAACAAAAAACACACAAAAAATAGAAGGGGGAGAGACAAGGACGAGACCTAATCTAGATTTTTGTCTAGATCTATGTAAGAGAAGAACCCGCGCGCGCATTCTTCAGCACGACTTGTGAACACGCCGTCCGTCGAAGTCCAAACCGAGGTGCGACCATCATCACGGGTAAGGCCTTAGAATTTCGTTTTCGTAACAGTTTTACGGCACTTGCAAAACAAATAGAGATCATATCAGCGCCGAAGATTAGAGAAATGTTAAAGAAAAGAAGGAGAAGGGATGGTGACGAAAGATTATGTTCAGTTTTAGTTAAAAGTTCCGGCACTGGCAACACAAATAGATCTAGATCTAGATTTAGGTCGTGTAAGTAGTCGCTCGTTACGGAAGTCCTCAATTGAAGAATTTAACGTGCTAAAGTATAACGTCAGATAGGAAAGAATACGAAGGAGCAAACCACACCAGAACTGAGCGCACGCGACAACCTACCACATAGATGTTTGAGATTTATCACAGCAATGTGTGACCAAAGTTCGTATTATCGTGTCGTACGATATATATCTATCTATCTATCTATCTATCTATCTATCTATCTATCTATCTATATATATAATATTATCATTATTATTAAGATTATTATTGTAATTGTTATTAAATATTGCTATCCATGACATTCATTAGAAATAGGAGTTGTTTCAATGTCTGTGACCTGTTTGTGTTTGATAATATCATCAGAAAATAGCGATTGAGAATGACATTACGGCTGCTAGGTCGTCATGATTTTGAATTCTTTCTTACAACTTCACATCAGTTGAACAAAGCTTTTCTTTTCAGGTCCAAAACAGAAGAAGAAAAAATCAAACAATGAGCGCGGTGTGGTTGGCGGGTGCTCTGATGTCGTTTGTTCCTTCTTTTCTGTCAAACATATATCGTCTTGATCTCTCCTTCTTCGTTTTTTTGTGTGTGTGGGGGGGGGGGGGTGTTTGTTACTTTCTTGTAACACCCATAATCTTCGGCACTTACATGACCGACCTAACTGTGTTGAAAGTTCGGTAAAACTCCTACTAAAACTAAACAATGGGTGTTTGATTATGGCAACTGGTTGTTGGTGAACTTTGATCGTTACCAAAAAGATTGCGATAAATAAGTTCATCTTTGCTAGTTCCTCTCACGAGTTCCGAGTTTTCTTCTACGCTCGTATTTTTTCCTACACATAATGTATTAGCTAATATGACATTGTCATCATGACTAATTAATTGTGGGTTACGCGCACATTCGTCCTTTTCTTATGTTCGTCTTACTTTTGTCTAACGTCAGTTCTAAGCCAAAATAATTGTATTCCTCCAGAGGTCGCTGCAATAATGAAAACCATCTGCATATCCATTGCAGTTATAACAAATTATCTTGCCGATTTATATTTTTTTTTATGCGTTTGAAGGTAGAAAATTAGGTTTAACAAATTAAGGACTTTGTGGTTCTAATCTAGTCGGCTTTGACCAAGATGGGAGTGCCGAGCGAGGTTTCTGTGCTTGTTTCTGTGAGGGAATCGGCACATTCTACTGGTATGTGTTAGTGTTGACCATAGATAGTGTTAACACAGTAGGTTGGTAGTGCTTCCTTTCCAAGCACCACCCTTTCCTTGCGGGTGGTCGGAGTGTGCAACTGATACTTCCTATTTCTTTACATTCCCTCTGTTGCTTGTGGGTTTTTTCCCCAGCACTATACATATATATATATATATATATATATATATATATATATCTATCTATATATCTTCTATATATATATATATGTGTGTGTGTGTGTGTGTGTGTGTGAGGCAGCGTGGTGGAATCAGGCTCTCGTCAATTTTTGAGCATGTAGAGTTATTGGTATCATCTAAAAGCTTGTTCACTTCTCTTTATTAGGAGGAAAAAAGTATCCATTTATCTTGAACACAAGTCCAGATATTTGCGAAAGAAGGAAGTGGGGGGTCACTTGTTTTCAAAGGTAAAATTAGTGATAAAATGGCCGCTAAAGATTAGTTATTGCCTTAGGTTAAGAGTCCGTGGTGACTGAAAATTTAAATTTTTTGTGCCTTTAATCAACATTTTTCAGAAAAATTCACACAGAAATGAGCTCTTTAATGGGAATGAAAGGGGTTGAGCCAAAAAACAAAAATTCGATAAAAATTCACAAACCTGTGGAAAAATGCCAGTTTCTTCATTTTGATTATTTTGACGAGAGCCTGATTCCACCATGCTGCCTCACACACACACACACACACACACATATATATGTATCTATCTATATATATATCTATCTATCTATCTATCTATCTATCTGCATGTCTCTCTGTCT